GCCACCTGCCTTGCAAGCGCAAGGACCCGAGTTCAATCCCTGGTACCAAAAAAATGTAAAAAGGTTTGGGATGTAGCTCAACGCAGACCCTTGGTTTTATCTGTAATTCTGAGGGGGAAAAAAAGAGAAGTAACTTATGCCACTTCCCTTCGTAGCGTATTGGCCAAATTGGTCACTTACCCCTCATTTTAACTGGGAAGACTTGGAAATATAGGCAAGCACTTGGAATATTTGATGAGCACTGAGTGTCTCCTATCACAACAAGGTTATCAAGACAGACTAGATATGATGTGAGGAAACCAGAATAGTGTAAGAGAGGATGTGAGGGAGCCAGGAAAGTCCCCAGGGAAGCCCAGGCTGACAGGACGACCTGGCCACCTGGGGTCCAGAGGCAGGAGCCCCTGGAAGGAGGAGCGGAGGGTCCGACAAAACAGACTGACCAGTGGGAAGTGGGTTGAGAAAATGCACTTACAGAGCCAAGGAGGATGGATGTGGGAAGATTTTCTGAGCAAAGAATTACTCAAATAAAAGGAATTTTTAAAAAAGATGAGCAAGAACTAAGAGTTGTACAGAAGGAAACTAACAAAAAGACTTCACTGGGATCAGCCACAAATGATGTTCACATAGGGCCAGGGATTTGCTCCGTGGTTTCGTCGCCTGCCCTGCAAGCGCAAGGACCCGAGTTCGATCCCTGGTACCAAAAAAAAAAAAAAAAAAAAAAAGGAAAAAAAAAAAAAAAAAAATGATGTTCACATAGGTGTAATTATGGAAACGATAAATGTGGATCTAACCAAAACTGCAGACCATCAGTCGGCACTGATTCCACAGGTTAACAGTAGAGTCCCCAGTGTGACTGCCCTTACTTTTAGATGCCACACACAAGTTTCAGGGTCCCCAGGACACTTCTGAGCAACTGGCTATATGTTTTGTTGTTGTTTTTTGGTTTTTGGTTTTTTTTTATTTTAAAATTTTATTTATTTATTTTGTACCAGGGACCAAATTCAGGCCCTCGCACTTGCGAGGCAGGTGGGAGCACCACTGAGCTAAACCCCCGGCCTTTTGGTTTTTTTAGACAAGGTCTTGCTATATAGCCCAGGATGAACTCAAATTTGTGGTAATCCTCCTGCCTCAGCCTCCCAAGTGCTGGGATTATAGTGCGCCACCACACCTGGCTTTAGCTACAAATTTGGAAAGTTCCCATGACCTACTCAGGTTTAAACATTCACTAGAGCACCTCACAGAAATCAAGGAAGCACTATGTTATGGCTATAGTTTTATTTTAAAGGATATAAAGCAGGACCAGCCAGGGTCCATGAGGAGACCTACAAGATGAGGCCTGGGAAGAGCCTGAAGGAGTCCTGGTGACCCCAAGGATACAGAAGCTCTGCCAAGAACCAAGGCAAACACAGGTAAAGTCTTTATTACATGACAGCAGGATGAGGGGGAAAGTATGAATGTGAATGTGATATTTAAAGAGTTATCTTTGCCAGGTGTGATGGTGCAGGTCTGTAATCCTAGCACTCTGGGAGGCTGAGGCAGGACAATGGCAAATTTGAGCCCAGCCTGGGCAACTCAGTGACTTAGCAACACTCTGCCTCAAGATAAAAAATAAGAAAAAGGCCAGGGATGAAACTCAGTGTGAAAGCCCTGGGTTCAATTCCTGGTACCACAATTAAATAAATAAATAAATAAATATCTTCATCTTTCAATAGATACTCTCTAAAATGTAATCAAGTAATAACATTATGTGTGTTATTTAAAAATATGGCAACAGGGCTGGGGATTTAGCTCAGTGGTTTTGCCGCCAGCTGTGCAAGCGCAAGGACCTGAGTTCGATCCCTAGTACCAAAAAAATATGGCAACAAATACAGAAAAATGGGAGTAGACTCAGAAGTAAGATAAACTTATCGTTGCTACAAGCTGTATAGAACCATTGGGACATCCATCTAGGTATGTCTGTTACCTTGAGAAAAAGTAGAGGGAGAAGGAAGGAAGAAGAAGGGCAGCTGTTGCACCATGTGCTTGATGTGGGATGGGAAACACAGGGGCAGGGAGAAAAGCCCACGGCAAACATGGGTGGGCGAGGGGCAGGCAGGCCGAACCAAGGGGAGAGACCAAGGTGTTTTCCTCCCAGCAGTCCAGCAGGACCGTCCAGGACCACCTAGAGGCAGGAGAAAACAGGGAGCTAGAGTCTGTTGGGAGGGACGTGGACAGGGGAAGAAGGGAACAGCAGCGGAGGGGAAAGGGGGGAGGGGAGGGGAGGGGAGGGGAGGCGAGGCATGTTTTGAAGATGAGGAAGCGCTGAGGGCACGTAGATGCTGTTGGAAAGAATCCAGCAGAGCAGAGGTTAAGGGTTCCAGAGGTAAGGCCACACCGGAGGAGAAGGCAGAGGGACAACTTTGTCCCCACCGTCCTCCCAGGGGAGGGGACGTGAACACTTGCCCCTTGTCCATGCACATCTCCTCTGTCACTCCCTGGTTCCTGCACTCCTGGCTGGCGGCTGCTATCTTCACCTCACAGACCGAAGGGAACACCGCATCTGGCCACCTGGCTGCAAGAGGTCCTGTGTCCCCAGATTATCCTGTCTCCAGAACCAGGTTCTTGTTGCTACACTTGTTCCCCCATGAGGTGACACACTCTCTGCCCTCTGGAGCTGCTGGTGTCAGGGTGAAGCCTTCAGAGGGCGGGCTTTTCGGCCCAGGGCCAGAGGGCCAGCCCTAACCAGAGTCCAGTGTCCATGGGAGTCGGGAAGAATCTCAGTGTGCCTGCGGCAGTGCTGTAAGCAGGGAGACAGGGCTGTAACCCCATGAGGGCCCGGTCCCACTGCAGTGGGTGTTCCCACTCCATCTCAGGAGGCTCTCTGTTACCCGACCTTTGGGGGTTTCAAGAGAATTTGCGCATCAAGATGCTTGTGTTTATTGTCCAGATTGGAGGACAGTAAGGCAAAGTGGGGGACGTGGAGATGGTCAGGTCGGCACTCTGTGAGAGGAGACCCCTGACCCGGCCAGGAAGCAGCCTGGCATGTGAGAGAGAGAAAGAAACGACAGAGGACATGGCCACTTGGAAGACAGGGCCCATCTCTGCCAGTTCAGGAGGGTGGCTCGATGGCCCACTGGATCCATCCGGGTCAGAGCTGCTGCCCTGGCTGTCCCAAACTCCCTTCTGGCCTGTCCTGGCCAACCCAGAGGTGCAAAGTGTGGAGGGGTTTGTTCTCTTCAGAACCTGCTGGGGCCTCTTCATTAAGAAGCATTATCTAATTAAAAGCTAATAAGCGCCAATTTGTACCTCTGCGGGGG